TTTTTATGTGATTTTTGGAGTAATGGTTGGAGCAAAACAAAAACAGTTAGTTACTTAATTTGTATATAGAATTATAATTTTAACTCAATAACCCAAAATACGTAATTTAAAGTGTTCCATGTGACATATTCACAAGTTTGAAGGGTATTTCCTTTGGTATAAAACACTAGTTTTTCTCTCAGAACAATCTACATACAACTTTTGTTACAGTAAGTATTATATTATATTTGACTTTAGTACTCAAATATTCACACTGAACAATGCAACGTTCTACGTTATGACTCCAATCCATACATTAGGTAAAGCCCACGTAGATATGCGTATAACGATGGTTTATGTCTGTTACATTTCTTTCAAATAAAAAATAGGACATAAGACCAATCAACATACAAAGAAAAGATTAAGAAAATTAAACACTTGATAATTACTTTGTCAAACTTTTCTAGTATATCCATTTTCAGGTAATGAGATTAAGTCGCCTTCAAGCATCAACTAGTGACATATTTTGTACAGTCTACGTAGCAACACTGTGTGGTGACCTCTATCGGATCTTCGCTGATTTATGAACATATTTCCTTTCCTTGTCGTTTGGTCTTTAAATTCACCGCCGCATCAGGCACGTGTGAAATATCAAGTTGACCCGAACCGTTAAGGAATGTTAATAGCACTTGTAGTTGTATTGTGTACATGTACAGTTTTTAAAAAGTGTACATGTACACAAAATGTCTTATATTGTAGTTGTTTTGTGTCGGCTGCTATCGGCCATCGTAGATTGTATGGCCTTGTGTACAGCCCTATAATAAAGTTTGATGTGCGTGTAATAAAAAGTCATTTATATCTTAACTTTCCTCTTTGTTATTTGTTATATTTATATATGTTAGATTACACAACATACTCCTACATCCTCATTGGTCAGATCCTAATCAAGTGGAGACGGTGATTTGTGATATTGACTCTGAATGATGATTATTATCAAAAAACAGCAGGTCAATATTCTTTTTTTTGTCGTCACTTCCAATTGTAATTTCCCAATGTTCTCTGCAACATGCAGTACTTTTCTCTTTCATAATTTCATATCTAATAATACAGAAAAGTACTTTTATGTCAGTGAATATGTGGTTTTACTAACCTACAAGGTTACATTAACCTTGATTTTCATCTCTGTAAATATATCCTTTCCAGGTCTATAAA